CAGAGGCAGAGACATAGGCAAAAGGAGAAGCAGGGTCCATGCAGGGAGCTGGATGTGGGACTTGATCCTGGGACTCCTGGATCACACCCTGACCCAAAGGCAGATACTCAACCACTGAGCCACCCAGGCATCCCCCTAACATCTTTCCTACATCACCTAGGCCTTCATGCTCTACTCCAGGACCCCAACTTAAGGATCTCTTGCAGAGCATGTTTGATCATAATTAGACCAGTAAACCCCCTCCTGATACTGAATGATAATTATCTAAACAGGCCTCTTCTGCATAGACCCAGGTTGCTGGAGGAAGCAGGGCATCCCAGCTGAAGGGGACTCTGACTCTCACTCTTTCAGTATTCCTTCTCCCCCTAATAGATGTGGGGGCTTCTCCCTCATTTCCTGGGTTAATGGCTATAATTGGAGCGAACAGGGGGTTTTAAGGAATATTCCCAAGCAGCTGCTGAAACTCCCTTTGTTTTAGGGCCAGACATGCACTGCCTATTCCCCCTTATGGGGGGAAAACATGTCGTCAGTTCGTCTGTTGGACCTGACAAGTTCTAGAACTGGGAACCCTTTCTCTGCCTTCTGGCAGCACTTTACCTCTTCTCTTTTCTCATCCCTCACTTTTTGTTTGGGCACCACCCTGGGTGCATGAGGCCTCTATAGATGGTTCCTGTGCCATTCTTGGCACTTCCGGCACCATGGCTTCTTCTCCCCCTCTCTATCAAGGAGCAAAGAAGAGCAGCCCCTTGGAGACCTAACACCACCTACTCCAGATTTCCCCACCGGTGTCTCAGGTGAAAAATTGACAAGGGGGAACAAATTGATTGACTTTTAGGTGGGCCCAGGGGGAACATAATTCAGTATTTAAGTTACATTTGTTGGTTTAATTAGGATAGATCTGTCTTTAAAGTTATCAGCATTAAATATGAAACTTTTATTCTACCAAAGTTTGCTCAACATCAAGTAAGTTCGTGTTACCTCTGTTGCAATTTGTTAGCAAAAAGATAACCTAAAATGATGGTTAATTGTCTCAAAGTTTTCATGGGTAATTGTTAACATAGTTTTCAAAGTCTTTGCTAACCTGAAACTAAAGTTTTGCTTGGATGATAAATGGAATTGAATTCATTGAACATTTGAGTCTTTTCCAAATAAGAATGAAGTGCTAAAGCATTGATTACTGGACATAGGTTTATGCTTTTGACTTCTTATTGCAAAAAAAAAAAAAAAAAACTAAGGATCTTGAGTCTGTTGGTAAACATACTTTGTGCTTAACTGATTAACAAATTTGCTTCTAAAGAGTTTTGGTGTAACAGTTCATATTTGGTTACTATTCAGTTTTCACTGGAGACTAAGCTTTCTAGGATTGCCAAGTTCTGCTAAATGTAATTAAGACGTGGAAATAAAGGAAGTAATGCTATATGTAAGAACGATCTAAGGTATGGGAATATATTTTTGTTGAAGGTAAAAGAAGGTGATTTTGCCTAAATAAGACTGGAAAGAAAAGGCTTGGGACAAAATCTGAATGCAAAACAAAGTTGTAGAAGGTTTGTGAAGGGAAATCTTTGGAAAGGAATTTTAGTGTGATGAGGACAGACTAAAATTGAAATGAATGGATTTTAGGGCAGCCCGGGTGGCTCAGCGGTTCAGCACTGCTTTCAGCCCAGGAGCTGTTCCTGGAACTGGCTAGATCTTGAATTCTGGTTTCCTCAAATCTTGGGCTATGGCTCTCCAAATAAGGTTTCCAATCTTCTTCCATTCTCTTGACTTAGTCATTAAAAACTAAAACTGCCTTTTTTCCTAAAGCCCTAAAAACTGATGCTAGACAACTTGAGGTAAACTTCAGAGAAATTGCTACAATAGTTTATAGACCATCCTCTTGCTTGTTATTCTGGATAATAACAGGACCCCATGGGCATATGATTATTTGAACAGCTGGGAAAAAAATGGCATTGGTTCCCCAACAATTACATAACCCAGCTAGCACTTTGACCAATTCTCTATGGCTGGGATGACAAAATCACTCCGTAAAAGCCAGAGTGTACCCTCTCTATGGGGCTAACTATGGACTTGTGGAGATATTGGATGACCACACTTTTTAAAAAATGGATTAGATGATGCACTTGAGGATGCCCTTATCTCTTGAGACAAGTCTTCTCCCACTAGCCAATGATTCCTTGTAATTAGAATATTGTCAAGGTTAGACCTCAAAGAGGGCTTCTTGATGACTTTATTCTTTAGTCATATTTGTCCTAGGGAACTACCTCTATTGATTTAAAATGCATGTAGAGGCTTTAACCAAGCATAGAATGACCACCTTTAATGACCATCTAATCCATTTCCTTACGTCTCTCAACTCCCAAGTGTATAATCAGTCACCCCTCACAACCTTGGCACAGCAGCTTTAATAAGAACACTGTTTTGCACCAAAGATGTCTCAAGAATTCTTTCTTGGCCATGGACTCCAGATCTCCCCCCACCAAACCTCACCTACATTCCAAAATTACATTAAAGAAATGACTCAAAAAAGCAAGGAAGAGTATTTCATACAGAAAGAATAGCACATGGAAAGGCAAAGTGGGAAAAAACAAACAAACAAACAAAAAAACATCTTGTGTTCAACAGTCCACCATTTGTTTTACAACTCCAATAAGGCCATCCTATGTTTTTTTCTTCACCTTCAGAGTACTCTCCAACTCCTTATAGTGTCTGGCTTTGGCCTCCACCATCTCCACGAGATGGCCATCTCTGCCAAATCCAGGGAAACTTTTCAATCTTATCTTCCTTGATCTTTCAGCAGCATAAGGCACTTCTTTCCTGAAGCCCTCTCTTCCAGTGGTGCTCAGGATCACATCCTCTAGATTTTCCTTCTTCCCATATCTTTTGCTGGTTCATCTTCTATCAAATCTTGAAATGATGGACTTCTTCAAGATAAAGTCTACAGCCTCTTCTCTTCTCCCTAGGAACCCCATTCCTGGGAAATCTCATCAGTTCCTATACTTTTAAATAACATCTATTGATAGTGACCATTTATTTCTGTTCCCAAGCTCCAGACACATATACCCAACAGTCTGCCTGATTCGCCTATTTAAAGCCTTTCAAACTCACCATATCCATGATTGGATTCATCATGTCCATATAACTCCATACCCAAGCCAAACTAAACATCTGTCCTCCAAATGTTCCTTCCTTTCCATTATCTATGCACTTGGGTGTCTACTCAATACTCATTCTGCTTCCCATCTTCCTTGATTTAGGTCATCATATCTTATTGGATTTACCCCCCTAGATACCTTAAGTTCATGTATCTTCACTGCCACTAAACTGGTTGAGCCCACCATATCATCATTTCTTGCCATCTCCCTAATCTAAGCTATGAGCTTGTCTAACCTAAAACACTACAGTAGTCTCCTGCTCCCCATATACCATTTTCTACATTGCAACCTACATAATTTTTAAAATGTATAATGTAAATAAGATCATTCCATTCTCTATTTAAAATCATTCAAGAGTGGGGTGCCTGCATGGCTTAGGCAGTTAATTGAATGCCTACCTTCAGGTTCGGTCATGATCTCCAGGTTCTGGGATGGAGCCCTGTATCGGGCTTCCTGCTCAGTGGGAGTGTACTTATCTCTCTCTCTCTCTCTCCCCCTTGCCCCTCCCCACTGCTCATTTTCTTTTTCTCTCAAATAAATAAAATCTTGAAAATAAAATAAAATAGGGCAGCCTCAGTGGCGCAGCGGTTTAGCGCCGCCTGCAGCCCAGGGCGTGATCCTGGAGACCCAGGATCGAGTCCCACATCAGACTCCCTGCATGGAGCCTGCTTCTCCCTCTGCCTGTGTCTCTGCCTCTCTATGAATAAATAAATAAAATCTTTAAAAAAATAAAATAAAATAAAATAAAATAAAAATAAAACAAAATATAATAATTAAAGAGTTTCTCTTGTTATTAGCTTAAAACCCAACACCCTTAACAAGAGCTAGCATGAACAGTTTCTGGCCAAGCTCAGCGGTTCATCTTCCTTTAGTTACCTCCAGTTTAATTAATCCCTGTACTTGACACACTGGCCACCTTTCACTTCCTCAAGTTCACTGTCCTTCCCTCAGGGACTTTTCCTATTCTATTTCAGATTTCCTATGCCTCTTCACTTTATTAAATTGATTGTCACTTATGTATATTAGCTTTCCTTGAATCCCAGGACTAGATTAGCTATCCCTAATAAATGCATCTTGCACATATCTTAATAAGCCTAATGCTTTAAGTTATTAGAGCTAATTGATACTATATTTCTGAGTAGAATGTAAGTTACCTAGGGACATGGATTTGATCTGCACTCACTGTTGTGTAGCTAGTGCCTAGCACTGTGCTTTTCACATAATAAATGGAGTGAGTGCATGTAGAGTTGGAAGATAAACTATTTCAAAAAGGAATTGGGAAGCACCTGAAAAAAAAAAAAGGTGTTTGGTAGAGTAATAGATTCGAGTTATCCATTTAGGTTTTTAAGTCTTTATGTTTATTTAATGATAATTTTAAGCATTCTTGCCAAACTGTTCTAATACAGAATGGAAGGCTTGAGATACTCTGTGGGCACAGCCCTAAAAAGAAAGCATAAGGAACTAGAAAGCAAGAAGAGGGACTTATATAAGCAGCAGAAGGAAGCAGATCCAATCCATTTTCTAGTGGAAGAGATTGGAGTGGGAAGCAGAAAGAGAGCGAGAATACATTGCTTCTTCTTCTGCTATCAATGAGTAATGCAGTTACTTATTTATCAATCTTTCCAGAGCAAGTTCATGCAGGAGATACAGCTTCTTCCAGATACCTGACAAGACCCTGCCAAATTCTCTAAGGGGGTGCCTTCAATAGGGAAATATGGGCATCCAGCTTTCTTTAATTGTCGGAATGTGCCCACTCCCTGAGAGTGCTGGAAAATTAGTGACAGAGGCACCTTTCACAGACTATAAGAATATCAAACTTACCCATCTTACATTGGTTAAGAAACTTACCACTGTTCTTAAAGACACGTTCACGGATAGGTGTGATAGGGCGGTTCACAAAGATTTGGTTCTGGTCCACAAGAACTTCTTTGATCAAGGGCAATCCGGTTACAACAACTAAAGGCATGTCACCGAGCTGCACACTAAAAACGTTTCCATATTTCTTTACAAACTGAAAAACAGTTAAATAGTCACAATTGAATATGCACGTGTCTGTATGTCCAGGAATAGAAGGGTTGTGTGTAGCTGGGGAAGGTCTTGTACCAAGGAGAGTCTCTGTGTACCTTGGCATGATGGGTACCTTTCTCTTCTGTTTGCTTTTCCCCTCCTCTCAACTAGACTTGGATTGAATTCACTATATGTTCCTTGTAAACATTCATTCATATATTCAACCTACACAAATTGAGTGAACCCAAAAACGAGGCATGAAGATGTAACTATAATAAAACAAGGCCTCTAAAAACCCTGAAACATCTTAGAGTCTAGTGAGGAGAGAGGATTCAGAATACCTGACTTGCCAAAGAAGACTGAGAGACTTAGTGTAAGTCTGGGGTTGCAAGCATGGAATTCTTAGTAAATCATAGCTGTTGAAGTAGTAAGAGAATGTCCCCTTCCTCAACACGTGCTAGATGACTGAAAATTCATGATAGGGCTGGGGCCTGCTATGTAGAAAACCACTCTAGTTCTGGAGCTATGTGGACACCTTAGCTCTATGGTTCACTAGCTGAAAGTTGCTTTACTTTTTTTTTTTTTTGAGCTTCAGCTACAAAAAGGAAAAAATTATTCCTCCCTCAATGATTTTGGTGAGGAAGAATGAGAGCAACAGTGTGAAAGGCAATTTGTTTTCTGGTACCGGGCGCATAGCCACTTGAGCCCCCGAGGAATGAATGGGCTCTGTGTGTGCAAAGGGATGAAGAAATGCACACTCATGGCAGCAGAGAGGACGGGAGCACACAGGTGATGTGCTAGAGGAGGGCACATGGACACTGGGTGACGTGTTTATCTCATTTACTCTCACAACCACCCTGTGGCATTAATGATTTTCCTGGTCTTTCAGAAAAGGAAAATGAGTCGAAGCCCAAGCAATGTCACCAAGGTGACCACAAAGCTACTGAGTGGTGAAGGGACTTTGCCAGGCATTATGTAAGGTTTGTGGACAAAGACGTGAAAGAAAGAGAGGGAGGGAGAGAATGGAAGAGTGTGTGGTATGTCAGGAGTACACACAAATGTGCAGGTATGTGCAAGTGGGTTGAATGAGAATGAATGGTATTTAAGGTAATACTATTCAAGTGAATAGTAAATCAAGGTATTTCCTGATTTGTTTATTCAAGAGATGACTCTGAGTAGACCCTATCCCTGCCTCTTGTCCATCTGGGCTGTGGCTAGCTTCAGGCAGTGGTACCAAACAGAAGAACTCCGTTTCCTCCGTGTATCTATGGTCTCTCCTTCCTAATCCACAGTTTATGCTTCCCCTTGCCACCCTCAGTGCCTTGGACCCCACTGTCCCCATCAAAGCAAATACAATGGATTACACCAGTCTCATTCTCCACCCTGCTCCCACGTTAAAAACCAAGCCTGAACTCAGTATTTCCCTTGTTCGTTCAGCCCAGAGTCTTCCACCAATCTTTGTTCATCTCTAGCACAGTATGTTTTATCTTGCTGGAAAGGGTAGACCCAAGATTCCCTCTCAGATTCGTCTGCCTCTAAAGTACAGGTCTTTGCTTTTAAGAAATGGTAGGAATGGATCCATAAAAACCAAGCAATTGTTTTCTTTTTGTTTCATCTTGCTGACTGCCTGGATGAACTTCTTAGGTTTTATAAAAAAGGATTTCTTGACTTATTTAGAATATTCAGAAAACATGTTTTTGGAATGGCTAAAAATCTCAGGTTCAACTAAATGACTCCTAATTGACAATGTGCATCTACAACCTAGAATCTCAGCTTGTACTAATGAGATGTACAGCATTTCATTAGTATTGACTGGAGTGAACTCCTTCCGAGTTTCAGCCCCTCCAGCTTTCTGCCCATGTAGATTTCTCAACCAAAAAAGAACTGGATCAGAAACTTTCTTGGCATACTCAACTGTGTACATATGGATAGGTCAAGTGACCTCCTGGAGCCCTGGTATTGACTGTGGTGGTGTCTAACACTTTTCACATGCACTGTGCTGGTCATCATGCTGTCACTTTACAGGATGACACACCGGGCATCTGAACACTTCTTTTAGGTAGAGTATACTACCGTCCAATGTACAATCGCCAAGTCATTACAAAAATGAGAAAGCAATAGAATAAAAGGGGTTAAAAAGTAAGATAATTCAGGAAGGCAAATAGAAAAATGAAGAGAGAAGAATTAACACAGAAACTGATAAAATGTGAACAAAAGTAATAGGAAATTCAACACAAATGGTCAAAATTGCAAGTGTGGGATTAAGTACTGACATAGTAAGATAAAGCGAAATAAATGTTTAGGATAAAGAAAAATTAGGAGGGGAAGTTAATGAGATAAGAGCTTAAACCATGATTACCAATATCTTGACGGACAATTGGGAGAGATTCCACTTCTAAGTTCTTAAACTCAAGAACCCACAGAACAAAGACACAAAGAGAGGAAAAGGAAAAGAGGAAAAGTAGAGTGATTCTCACTTCACAGGCAGCAGGGGAGAAGGTTTGCTTCTCTAAACTCTGACCAGCCCTGAGCAGTGTGTGTGTGTGTGTGTGTGTGTGTGTGTGTGTGTATGCACACATGCATGTACATATCATCCTAACAGACCAAAAAAAAAAATGCATCCTGTTTCTATATGTTACTAAGGTTTAACACCTTTTCCCCAATATGTGTATTATATTTTTAAAATGGCCTGCTTATGTCTTCTAAACTTTTTAATTGGGAAGTTCAATTTTGTACTCACTGATATGTAGAACCTCTAATAAAAAGTTACAAACAGGAAAACTTTTATTACACAGGAGTCTGGAGAAATATATATCAAATTCTATAGAGTAATTGCTCAGTGTGTTTATGTATGTGTATGAGGCTGGGTTGGCACAAGGAAGGGTAAGATTCTCTCCCTCTCACTCACTAAATTATATTTGAAAATTTTTTTAGGGCAGCCCGGGTGGCTCAGCGGTTTAGCGCCGCCTTCAGCCCAGGGCGTGATCCTGGAGACCCGGGATCGAGTCCTGCGTCAAGCTCCCTGCATGGAGCCTGCTTCTCCCTCTGCCTGTGTCTCTGCCTCTCTCTCTCTCTCCCTGTGTCTCTCAGGAATAAATAAATAAAATCTTTAAAAAAAAAAAAAAGAAAAATTTTTTAACTTTGTATTGCTTTTATAGTTCAGAAGTATTTTTATCTGATAAAAAGAAAAAGAAAACAGACCTAAGGAAATAGGAATAAAGCACATTAACAATGGTTCTTACTCTTCTGAGTCACAGAATCCTTTGAAAATCTACTGTATTCATGGATCTGCTCTCCAGTAAAATCCTGTACATATGAATAGTCATGCACGCAGTTTCAGGAATTCACCAGTCTCTTGGGGCCCATGAATTCCTGCTAAGAACACTGGTCTTACAGATAGTTCCTGGGGACTATGCTAAGTTTCTGAGAACAGTGTGTGGAAAGCAAATTCAAGTTCAACTCGTTAGTTATAAAATGCTTGAGAGTTGCCAGGCAACTCCTAATATTGCTATGTTAGACATGGGGGAAATATAAAGGTCAATATCCGGACGCCTGGGTGACTCAGAGGTTAAGGGTCTGCCTTCAGTTCAGGGCGTGATCCTGGAGACCAGGGATCAAGTCCCATGTCAGGTTGCCTGCAAGGAGCCTGCTTCTCCCTCTGCCTGTGTCTCTGCTTCTCTCTCTCTCCATGTCTCTCATGAATAAATAAATAAAATCTTTAAAAAAAAAAACAAAAAAAAAAAAACCAAAGGTCAATATGATACGGTGTTTTCCTAAAGTGTCAAAGTCTCTTGGGGCAATCCTGGCTGCAGGAAAAAAAAAAACAAGGCACAGCAGAAGTGATGCATGCTATAATACTGGTAGATGGGCAGTCCAGGTGGCTCAGCAGTTTAGTGCCACCTTCAGCCCAGGGCCTGATCCTGGAGACCCGGGATCCAGTCCCACATCGGGCTCCCTGCATGGAGTCTGCTTCTCCCTCTGCCCGTGTCTCTCATGAATAAATAAATAAGATCTTTAAAAAATATATACTGGTAGAAAGGGATTGTGGAGGCCAAGAAAAATTAAGGCCATTCCACTCAAGTTTAGCATTAGCACAGTACAGCCATCTTAGGCCCCTGGGAATAAGAGCTGAACTTTACAGGAAAAACTGCAGAATGTCCTCGGCAGGGAATCCCATATCAGAAAGACAACAGCCCATCACCGTGGTAGAAAGTTCCATATTAGAATGAGAACAGAGAGGATCCCTGGATGGCTCAGTGGTTTAGTGCCTGCCTTCAGCCTGGGGTGTGATCCTGGAGGCCCGGGATCAAGTCCCGCATCCGGTTCCCTGCATGGAGCCTGCTTCTCTCTCTGCCTGTGTCTCTGCCTCTCTCTCTGTGCCTCTTATGAATGAATAAATAAAATCTTAAAAAAAAAATAGAATGAGAACAGAGCCCACGCCCACGCCCGTGGCAGAAAGTCCCATATTAGAATGAGAACAGAGCTCAATGCCCTTGAAAGCCCCATGTCAGAATGTAAACAGAACTTGAGAAATTCCTCCAATTCCTCCACCCCTTCTGGAAATCCCCTAGACCAGCCCATAAAAAAACCAGCTGTAACCCTCTTCGGCTTCCAAGACCTTGCTCCGCTATGTCGGGGATACTTGGACCCAAGCTGGGGCTTGCAAATAAACCCTCGTGCGCTTGCGTCAGTGTCGGCTCCTTGGTGGTTTCTTGGATTCACAATCTTGGGCATAACAGGATATGAAGCTCCTGAAAGAAGACATGAATCTCTATCCCAGATATAGGAGAAAACCTCTAAGAGGAGATGGTATTTGAACTAGATCTGAAACGAAAGTTAGGGTGCCAGCAAAAGCACATGCAGTGTGAAGGCAAGACCTTTTAGGCTGTGGGAACAGTGTATGCAAATATGAAGTCAGGAAAATGTGGGTGTTCAACAAATGAGTTATGTGGTTTGACTGCAGTGTAGGGTTCATTAAGGAGCACTGACTATGTGGTAGGTCAA